AGCTAAGTGTTTGCAGGTCTGGGGAAACGATGACTCCCATAATGGTGAGTGCCACTCGCAAGCAGAGGCATGGAGCCAGACTGAGCGGCTCTTCTGCAGATGTTTAAGTGAAAGCACATAAGTAGCTGTCGCTAAACGCCGGCTCCTGATATAAGGTCCAGACACATTTGCATCCTTGATACTCACAGCAGGACATGGTCCACGGCCTCCCACAAGTGGCTCACTGTGGTTTGCATTCCACAATGCAAGCAAACATCCACACAGGGCACTGCGGTAGCCCAAAAGAATAAATATTATTTTGTGTGGTTATTTCAGTCCAAAATATTGAAAATAATCTGCTGGCCATGTTGCAACCAAGGCAATTTTTATACAACATGAAACTGAGGGTATGCATTGTATGCCTTGGGATGTAGCACATGAGTATACATGGACGGCTGTTTCTTCTTTGAACATGTAGATACACCAAAGGAGGACATTCTTTGAGTACAGAAAGGCACCAGATACCAGGCATGGGCTTTTTTAAAAAAATTAGACAATATTACACATTGAGCTGCTTGAAGGAGAGACTGACCTTCTCGAAGCAGCAGTCCTTTCAGAGGTCCCCAGGTCACAGCACATCTCTGTGCAGTGGCCCGTGATCTGGCCCATAACCTGAGTATGTCTGAATCAATGTGACTGCTACAACTTGAGCTGGGGAGGTTTTATTCTTCTTCATACGAAGGTGAACAAAGGTGACGAATTTTGTTGAGAAACTGTAATGACATTTCTAAAAGGTTATTTCCTACCTCTCAGACATTTATTAAGGCACATAGTAATGCTCATTTGTATTCAAATCAATTGAAACGGACATATGTGAGGTGAAAGCCTGTGACTGACAGCTTCTGCTTGAAGGAGACTTCACAGAACGAACCTTGACTTTATCAGTTCACTCCTCCTTCCTTCTCTTTATCCTAAGTAGCCCAAGTGCCACCCTATGCCACCCTGCAGGGCATATTGTAAATTCTGGCTTTGATTCATTGACAGTCTCAGCAGCTCAAGGCAGCTGCAAACCCAGTTTACCTGTCCGGTTAAAGTGGTTTTATGGCAGCTGTATGCCCCTGAAGATTTGCAAGTCAGCAATGCCTGCCACTAAATCAACCTTTGTCAGTTTTACCAGGCTTTTTGAGAGAACAACAAGAAGGATACTATCACTTTACTTCTTAACCTTTGGTGTTTTCAAGAGCCTTTTATCATTCTGAAGTTGTGGCCAAATGCTTGAGTTTTAATGCAGGATTTATTACTCATCTTTATTGTTTGGGTTCTGTTTTGTGATTTATTAAAGTCCATAGACTTTGAAACAACCATCTATGTATAAATCAAGCTATACACATAAACCACCTTCTACCAGAGGAACATAATATTTAGGGTTTGTCCAGAAGGGAAAATGTTCTGATATAAGTGGGAATGTCAACTGGAAACGCAGTGGTTAATGTACCTCCAGTGCTTGAAGGGATGCTCCCATGCTGTGCTGAGTGCTTCCTCGTGCCTCAGCTTAGTTTGATTTGGAAGCAGAGTAAGATAAACCACAAAAAAAGCACTTAGAGGATATCAAGCCTTTTTCCAGACTGACCTTGAGCTAGTGGGAGCCAGGGATGTGGAATTGTCAGTGTGTGGAATAGCTCTTCTGTTACAGCCCTGACAGATTTTTTTCCTCCAGATCTACTGTTTGCACATAGTCTTTTTCCCAAATATGTGCTCATCACTACCTGGTAGCTCTGCGTGATCCTCTCTTGGGAAGCTGATTTTCTTCTCTTGATGTTTGAATACACAGGCACAGCCTATGTCTTCTTAAATATCCACAGTCACCAAGAGCAGGGAGCTGGAAAGCAAGGACAATAAAACCAGCAAGAAATTATACATCTGAATTGTCAAGGAGAAATAGATCTGTCATCTTCGATCTTTAAAGAATTAATTCAGTCAGCTGCAATAATGCTAATACAGCTTAGACCAGGACTTTTTGTTATGGGTCTACAGGAACAGCTTGATCTTGACCAAATGGGAGTAACGCGTGGGTGACATTCTTGGCTATGTGTGATGCTTCCTAAAAATCCCATCCAAATTGTGGATGTGGGTTGCACATGGAAGCTCTTTTATTTACGGTTTAAACATGACTGCCTTTAAATTTGGTCCCTGTGTCCTCACTGGGATTTGCTATCCTCATGCTACAGAAGCCAGAAGCTATCTTTTGAAGAGGGACAAACTCTGTTCCTTTGGGGAGGAGAACAGTAAGTTTAGTTCCTGTAGAGATATGAAAAGAGAGAATTGGGCTGGAAGTTAATTTTTTGCATGCAGGAATGAGTAGGATTCCCTGCATCAGCTGAATTGGGGTGTATGCAAAAAGGAGGTTACAGTTGTCAATGTTCTCCGCTACCAAACCGTGGTACCTCTGGTACTTTCAAACTGTATATTAGGCCAGTTATACATGGCTGTAAGGGAAAGATGCCTTGAATGGTCATTCAGAAAAACTTACATGACTAGCAGTGCCTGCTACAGCTCTGCTGTGAGCAGCGCTTTTGCACTTGTTAAAGGAACGACAAGGAAATGTGGAAACTCCAGCTACAAGCTGAAGCTCATTTCCATTTTTTAAAGCCAGAAATCTGGATTTAGATGCCAGTCTCCAGAAGCTGCTAACAACAAAACAAAGCAGGTGGGGAATTGGTGCCCTTGTATTTTGGGTGAGGAGTTGTAACTGACTTTGGTCTTTTACTTGAAAAAACTTGCAATTATGCTAAAATTTTCCTCTTTCTAGTGCTGCTGCCTCTCCTCCCATACCTTCTGATGCAGCTGAACCATAAGGTCTGTAGCAATGAAAGGCATCTTTTTACTCTCTCAATACCATTGTTTATTTTATCTCTGCAGCTCACACTAGGTCTTCGAATTAAATTAAAAAAACAACCCTGCTGTTATCAGTATAGGGCAGAAGCGGACGGGAAGCTTGTGGTATGGCTCTGACTAGCGCTGTGTCTTCATGCAGCTGAAATGTAATGCTGGGAGGTGTTGGGTGCCTTCAGTATCCCTACAACACGTCCAAAAAAGAAAAGGAACTTCAAAGCATTCCCTGTTTCCCTGGAGGTGTTTGCCACCCCGTGGCTGGGTAATGTGGCTCTTGCAGGTGACCTGTCCCTCCGTGCCGTCAGACTGACTCGGACCTTTTTAGGGAACAGCTTTCCTGGAGTCATTGGAGGTTTCCATCAGCTCAACGAGGCAGCTGCCACGCACTGCATGAGTTTGCACCTCACCCACTGGCTTCTCATAGCCCAAGTTCAAGCATTTAGGGTTTGTGCAGCAGAAGGAGAAAGGGCAATACCACAGGTTCTCCACCAGCTTCTGCCCTGGGCAGATAAGAAAAGCATTTTTGTAAATTGGCCCAAGGCATTGCCATGACTCAGTTCAAAGCTGTGTAGATAAAATAAGCTACAGTGTTGTTCAAAAAATAAAGAGCAGTGGTGTTAGAAAAAGAGCGAGCTCTGTGGAAGCTCCAGAAGCAGCAAAAGAATGGAACATTTGAAGTGAATAATAGTCTAATATTATAATTACTGTTATTATTATTGTTTTGTACTGTGTCTGGACTCTACAGCCTCTCTCTAGGACTGGAGCTGTTATGCTGGGCACTGGGAATGTGTGAAATAAAAGAGACAGCCTGTGCTTTTAAAGGGCTCCCAGTCTAAGCACCAGACTGGGAAGAAGGGAAAGGAAGGGAGACAGAGGAAGGTACCATTGAAATGCTGGTGTCGAGAGGATGAGTTTCAGTAAGGACATTCTTGGGTGCGCATGGGACAATGTAGGGCACAGCTTCATCCTCACATCATAAGAAAATCTTCTCTAATTAATTTTTTCTTCCTTGGGAGCCAAATACAGCACATGGGATTTCTGTTCAAAGATGCAAAGGGTACTGAAGCTCCGAGATTATGCTAAGTTTCCACAGGAGTCAGACTCCTAGCTACTTTTATCCAAACGGGGCTGCATTGTTGCTCCCTGCTTCACAACTCCACTTTTGCTGTCTTCACAGCACATCACCCCTTTTATTGTCTGAACATTGCCTCTCTTGGAGAGGCAGCATCCATTGCGGGGGAGACATATATTGAAAAAATCCCAAAACCAACAATCAAAGAAACAGCAGCTGTTTGATTTTGCTCAGGGGGAAGACAACGTTTGCATGGTTGACATTGCCTTCAGGGCTGAGTGTTGAAAGGGCAGCCTGTAGCAGTTGGCAATACCATGAAGGGACCTTTGCAGTCCTGCAGAATGAACCACATCTCAGGCTGCCTCATATCAGTGTTTCTCAGTGCTTAATTTGTCCCCATCGTTCTTCTGGTCGTTGCCATGGAAAGTTTTTTTAGCATTTAGACTATGTCGACTATATGGAGATTATTGGAAGAAAAGAAAAAGACCCAGTGAAGATTACTCTCAGACTGATGATAAAAATTTCTCTTTCCTCCTAAAAGCAGTATTTCATAGCCTAGTCAGAAACCCATAGGCAGAACACTTAATCCTCTTATGAAAAACAGCCCAAGACCACTCTTAAGCCACCCCAGAAAAGAAAGAAATGGTATCTTGATCATATTTGATAAAAGCCTTTACCAAGGTGGCAGGAACCAAGGAGCAAGTCTGGAGATCATTAGACGGGGCCCAAGATCCAAGAATATATAAAGTTATGCTTTTGTTGCTACCAGGTGTCATGGAACAGTTGGATGGAAGGAAATGTGTTCTACATGTACATCTCTTGAAGAAGAGAGGGAATTCAGATTAGAGCAACTGCAAAATCCCGTGTAACACCAGAGCTGCTCTTCCCCGGCCCTTCTTTGCTGGGACCCTATAAAGGGTCCTATAACTATCTATGCTTTGAGAAATTATCTGTGTATAGCTAAGAGTGTTTTGTTTATTTTTTCTTGAAGATTGGAAATGTCAGGTTTTATTATTGTGTTTAACTTCTTCTTTCTCTAATCCACCTTCAGGTATCTCCATGCCTATACCTGTCTTTGGATTACAAGATGACTCCAAAGTGTTTAAGAAAGGCAGCTGCTTACTTGTGGATGATAATTTTGTCCTAGTAGGCTCTTTTGTGGCGTTCTTCATCCCTCTAACCATCATGGTGGTCACCTACTTTTTAACCATCAAGTCACTGCAGAAGGAAGCTACATTATGCGTGAATGACATTGGCCCAAAGACCAAGTTTGCTTCATTTAGCTTCCTTCCTCAGAGTTCCCTGTCCTCGGAGAAACTTTTTCAGCGCTCTTTGAACAGAGATGTGGGGACTTCTGGGAGGAGAACCATGCAATCCATCAGCAATGAGCAGAAGGCTTCCAAGGTTCTTGGCATTGTCTTCTTTCTGTTTGTTGTGATGTGGTGCCCGTTTTTCATCACCAATGTGATGGCTGTAATTTGCAAGGAGTCATGCAATCAAGAAGTCATTGGAGGACTACTTAACGTATTTGTTTGGATTGGCTACCTTTCGTCAGCTGTCAACCCACTCGTATATACGTTGTTCAATAAAACCTACCGCTCAGCTTTCTCTCGTTACATTCAGTGTCGCTACAAGGAGGAGAAGAAACCTTTCCAGCTGATTTTAGTGAACACTATCCCAGCACTTGCGTATAATTCCAGCCAGCTCCAGCTAGCACAAATGAAGAGTCTGAAAAAAGAAGCGAAAATGATGGCTAAGGATTATTCAATGGTCACGATAGGAATACATCATTTGGATGGTACCTCCAAGGGAAGTATCAGCCCAGCGAACGAAAAGGTTAGCGGTGTGTGATGGTCGGCAGCTGCCATGACAACGACCATGTGTATGCTGAAAATTTCACCTGGCTGTGAGAAGCTCTGATAGCTTAGGAAAATCAGCCCTGTTCAAGAGACCCTCCAATAACATCTCATACTCCTCATATTATCCTGTGGATGAAAAGCAGGGTTGAAATGGTATCAAATGTGCAATTTTTTTTCATACAGTACTTTGGCTGTTTTAAGCACAGGCTTTATTAGACTCATTTTTTTAATATTCTAAAAGATATATTTCTTAAAGAAAAAAATGCAATTTCTGGTATTATAACATGGGCTGTGAAGAAACCTACGCATCTCTTTTTTTCTTTGCAAATGAAAGCTAAGCTGTCCTTTGATGTCCTTGCAGAGTAGGCTCCAGCTAGTTCTTCTTGCTACAATGGAATTTTGTTATCATTAACTGAATGAGCACTTTACGGAATTTTAAATAAAATTATAGTTAATTTGGTAATAGATATTTAAAATAAATTGTAAAGTATTAAAGAAAAATCTGTTAAAACCTGTATAGATTAATTATATGGACATTTTGGTAACAGTGGTTTTATGGCTATTTTTTTCTTCTGAGTGACCATTTTGAAATGTTACTGGGCTTTTCTGCCATTCATTCTATAGTTCAAATTAGCAATCTTCAAAGGTAAGTTATACTTGAATGATCCTTTGTTTCTACCACCATTCATAATCTTTATTTCATGTCTTGTACTTCATTTTCATTCAAAAAGTTTCATCTGTTCAGCTTAAAACTTGAAAGTAATTTTTTCAAAAGTAATTATTGGGCTTGATTCCCTGCTCCTTCCCACTGGTGTTGACAGGGAAGTGAAGTGAGAGAAGAGTGTAAAATCAGACACAACATTGCTAAATAATTTCAGGAACGATTCCACATCCATGCCTCCGTTTGATTCCAAGAGAGTCTGATTTAAGTATTGTCAGTGGAAGTTTTGCGTGAAGGCCACTATGAAGATGTCCTTCTGGTTTTGTTTTAGGGCTTGTAAAGCCAGAACTATTAGAAAACTGTTCAAAATTGTTTTCCCTGGTTTTGTTGTTTTGTTGTTATAGTAGATTGCTCAGGAATGGTAGGTAGCTTGCACTATTAGGACTCAGCCTTAATGAAATAAATATATATGGGCAAATGGGGCCCACTTGAAAAATAACAGGACTTATAATCGGCACTGCATTTCACCTGCATAGCTCCAAGGGCAGAATACATTACATAAAGAACATCAAATACATTGCTTGACAGAAATCCCTAGTCATGAAACTGTTCCCTTTTGGGAACCATAGACAGTTTCACTGAAGCCAGTAGGACTCCACTGGAGAGCAGAAATATAACTGTTGCATCCACCTGCAAAACCTATATCCAAGCATTTGATTTGTTCCATGAATTTTGCAGCCATAATCATAAGAAGCAGGATGTATTCCAGTTTCAGATCCTGTCCACTCTGAAAAAAACACTGCCTACCCAGAAGCCAAACTCCAATGCCTTCATCAGTCTTTCTCTTGAAGCTGCTCAGTTTTTACAGACCAATTCAATTTCCACTAAGGCAAAGAAAGAGAAAGAGAGAAACTGAATCTGATTCTAGCCTACTAGGTGGCAGTCTTTGGAAGAGGAAGGCTTTTAACTTAAAATACTGATCTATGGTAGAAGAGGACTTAAAACTTGGCTGGGTATTTGGCTGATTTCCAAAAAACTGCGTTTATTGTTCTCTTCCCAGTATGATAAGTAAATCTGCCAGTTTTATGAGCCGTTTCCTCCAAAGTGGGATAGGTCAGAGCCACCGTGCACAGGTCACACAGAAGCTCTGCACGCACATGGTGACACTGACTCATTCCACAACCTTCAGCCTCCGTGCCTGGGTCAAAGTCTCGTGCTGTAGCCCCGTTGCAGCAATGCCATGCATGTCATCCATTGGCCAGTAGCCATTAATGGTTTTCCCTCCAAAACTGGGAGTTTAGGATCACCTGATAAATAAAGCTGTATAAATGCTTGCTCACTGAGGTGGTTTATACGGTCTCTCTGTCTCTGGGTACGCTTGATCACCACAAGCCACCTGAGCAGCTTCAGCAGAAGGAAAAATGAACTCAGTGCTCCTGGCTCCCTGTGCACACCCTGCTCCCATGCAGCGCCGTGTGAGGGGTGCCACAAAGGCACAGAAGGGATTTCAGGGCAAATCTGCTAAGCACAGCTGAGCATGAGGACCACCCTAGTAGTAGGTGGGAGCAGTGACTTTTCACTGTTTCCTGATGAGTTTGATATAGACCCTAAATCAGGGGGGTTGAGCTAAGGACAACTGCCGGCTCACATCATACAGACCAGCCAGGCAAGGGATGGAGCACTGATGGAGCACAGGTGGTCCAGGGCATCCCACGAAACAGAGTATTCGGGTACCTCCTGGTGTCCAGATGTCTCCACAACTGGAGTGATGGTTTTGAGGATTCACCCGTGGGAACTGCCGCCCCAGAGAAGAAGCAGGCAGTAATAAAACCAAAGCTTGTTTGTGAGTAGAGGTCTGCGTCTCAGGATCTGCCACCAAACCAGATTGCCTCCATATGATGAATATTAACACAGGATTGAAGGTCTCTAACCCTGCCTGTGAGGGGGAAACACAGGTGCTTCCAGCAGCGGAGGGAATTGCCACATTTTTTGCAATTTGTGCCCATCTTGATGCAACTGCCTCTGGCCTTGCACAAGAAAGAAGCAAACGGGATGGACAGCTTGGGTCCTATCGACCCATTTCTGCCAGGGAGCAGAGCCTGCCTACATACCGTGCGATGTATATGGCACCCTGCACTTCTCCGAAGCTCAATTCCTCCCAAAACTCCTGAGGGTCCAGTTGCTGGTCTGCGCAGTCTCCTTCATCAGCTTGGACTTGATAAACTGTTACTGAGCATTTAACGTTCACTGCTTATGCTCTCCGCTTACCGTCTGCATTTTGCCCACGTGGCAGAGCAAATCAGCCCCCGCGCTTCTCTTTCATTTCACCTTCTGCTCCTTCTTTCACAATGTCAAATTGCTCAGGTTGCAAATACTGACGGGGAATGTTTCACTACAGAGAGGGTTCCAATTCCTTGCTTGATGTTTCATTAGAAGATGACTCTGAACGATAATTTTTTTCCAGCTTATTAAAATAAAACCTGTGTTTTGGACCTAAGAGGCTTGACAGCATTTCTTTAATTGGCAGCTGGAGGTAACATAACTTTTTTTGCTTAGAAGCAAGGATATCTGATGCCTGGCATTTTAACTCTGCGAGCACTCAGATATAGGTGGTTTTATTAAGTGATCAGCAGCTTTTGCCGAAGAAGCCTCTCAAAGCCAAGAATGCACAACAGATAAAGACCAACATCTCCACCTCTTTATGGACATCTTTGACGGTTTAGCAAGGCCTGATTCTGCCACCTTGCACCAAAATATTAACAGATTTTTGTGTGGTTTGCCTTAGTGAGGATGACAGAGTCAGCGTCTGAATTTGTTCTACCCACCATGCCAGATCTGCGGGAGGTCATTTATCAGTAGTCAGCAATTAATAGAGTCATTATATTGCAGACAGATGACAAAGTTCAGCCGTTTTAAACCAGAATTTATAGCACTGGGCCCATGCTTGGGATGAACACTACAGTTTAGTATGACCAGCTTCAGAGCAGCGCTTCCATCTTGCAAATAAAAGTGAGTGATTTCATTATGCATCAGACAGGAATGGAAACTTTTGTAATTTTCCAGGCAAAAAAAAGACGACATTCACACAGACTAGCTCAGAGATTAGGGCCTTCCCCTACCTTATGGGAAAAGCATGATGAGTCAGTCTGTCATATCTGCATCCAAAAAACCTGCTTTGTCTGAAACAATGTTTTAATCAACAATTTTTCAAGTAGATCAACATTTTATTACTTTTAAGACTGCATCTGAAAAATGTCCAAAGACATGAAGCTCACCATGTATCTCCTAAGCTGGTGTGCATCCTTTCTACACTTCAGGGTAAAAAATCCTATGTATCTATCCCATCCAGCCAACCATGCACTGTACTTATATAATTATTATCAGATGGTGAGATGCATTCTATTTTGAATACCTATATGTTTGCTTATGTAAATATATAGAGAAAAATGTTTGCTGTATTTTGTAATGTTCATGTAAAATGGTGTTCTGATGCTTTATTGTTTTGTCAGATCCCACTGCTAGTAAAGCAGATTAAAATATTTAAATGCCATCAGTTCTTTTATAAACTGGAGGTTTGTCTTAAGTGGTTATTTTGGTTTGGTTTAATTTCTCCCATACGTATTCACAGTACAATGTCTGCTGAAGGCTAAAATAATTTTAAATATCTTGCTGGACAGAGAGAAAAAGCATGTTGCAGAATTTAACTATCTCTCTCAGTAAACTGGTTCAAAACGAGCCATTGCAATCATTCTCTTTTTCTAAGGCCAGCTGTTCTTCTGCTGAAAAGGTATATTCTTCGGATAAGTACATACAGCTTAAAACATTTCAGTCTCAGAAACAACATACTTGCAACAGTAATAAGCCAATTAAATTAATTTCACTAAGAAGTAGCACTATAAGATTAAAATTAATAAGCAGCATAAATAAATTGCATTGCACAGTTGCACAGACGTAAGTAACACCTGCGTCACAGAACCACAGTGCCATCTATTGGTAGTATTTCCTTTCCCAAAGAGTATTAAAATAAGAAACCAAAATGGATTTTGTTACCTTTTTCTTTTCTCCATCTTAAACCCAAAATTGATTCCTCCAACTGATCTTATAGCATACAAGCTCTTGTTTACAATTGCAAGGCATATCAAAGTAGTATGCCTGTTAATATGAAGTGTCCTCAAAACCTTGCTGTAATCTTAAGTTTCATCAAGGTTTATAATGTGTGGAGAAAAGCATACAAAGGCATATTTTTCAGAAGTTATCAAACAAAGGGAAACAGATTGTTTTAGCTACAAACCTGTGAGGCACCACAGGGTGACATGTGCCAGATAAGATCCCTAAATTGAAAATCCACTCAGTTCTACCTCTGTAGTACTAGACTACTGTACATAGGCTCCAGGGTA